AAATAAAAAATGTATATCTTTATGTTTGAAGCCTGAAATGTGGCAAAAGGTTGAAAAGTTCAAGGGGGCCGAATACTTTCGCAAGGCACTGTACTCCCATTTTCCAAGCATGTATAAGGACTCGTGGCAGAATGTTTTAGGTTGCCATTCAGGCTGAATTTGAAAGCCTAATTTAAACACAGAAACACATCATTTTTATGCATATATAAAATACTTCTACAAAGATATTAACGAACATGCCCTTAACTGCATTCTAAATAATTCTGTATTATTTCCAATAGAAACCAGAGCACACCATCCTATTACATAGCAAAATCCAGACCACACAGGTTTGTCGATGCATCTGTGAGCTATTAGAGGCAGGTGACAAAACTCGGTGGCCCACTCCCATGTCACAGGAACGGCATCTAAACAGAGCATGGGGAAAGATGATTCGAAACGTGCTGCCGCAGTAAATGAATCAGCGACTTCTGTATCGCAAACAGGCCATCCTGAAATGCAGCAGATGACTCCAAACTGCTGGGCCAGTTCTCTGTTCAAACTAGACCCCCAGACTAGTACTTGGTGAACTGGTACACACTCATCTTCCACATGTTACACTTTTCTGGAGTGACCTTGGTGACCACCTCAGTCACAGAAAGCTCTATGCAAGCAAACAACTGTTACATAATTGTAGAGGAGACTTGTCCTACAGATAACGTGAATTCAGAAAGAAGCAGCTAATCAGGTATTTGCACAACTTCAGATGTGTGCAGTACTAAAGATGAGAATTTGAGAAATTAGTAGCAGTTGAGCTGAGAATTGCTCAACACTGTGTTGAAGCAAGCATTAAAACTCACCAGTTTGGTCAATCAACCAATGAATGAACGAATCAGTCAAATGAGTAGGTTCAATGGAACAAAAATGGCTGTTGGCTAGTCAACGCAATGAGATGACAGTGATGGAAGTTGACATGGTGCATCGGTGGGCCTTATGGTGGTTTAGATTTTTAATGTGACTCATCAAAATAGTGAGAGAAAAAGCAAATTAAAAATGCAACGTGCCATGCACTGTACATCCACAATGTGCTTTAGGAACTACATTCTTCGTATACTATAAAAAAAAAAGCTTCTTATTATTTCACAATTGGCCAAACAGACCCTTGTGAACAGGAGGCAGCTTTGTATGTGTCCAGGACACTTAGTATGTTACAGGCTAACACCCGAGGCCTGGAGGCTTCGTGCCCTGTGACAGGGGCAGTAACAATCACAAGAGAAGAGATACTCAGAAAAACAATTCACAGATCAAATCAGATTTCAGAGAAAAGTTGATTGTGCTGCGCTTCAGCTTTTTACATTTCACTTTAAAAAGGCACAAGCTATGAATCCTGGTAAATGTCTGATGTGTGAAAGGAAACCATAGAGATTTACCAACAATCACCCTGGTACAGAGATCAGCCTTGTTTAGGAATCTTCCTAGATCAGTCTTTATTTTTTTGTTAATTTCAAGCCCAGAATTCCGTACTGTTATTTTTTTTTCTCCAAAAGTGCAATTTAAAGAAGAGAGATTCATACTCTCCCTCGTTCTTCCACAGTACCTGAGGCCAGTGACTGTGCTACAAAGTCCACATTGACAGAAAAAAATACCCCCAAAGAAATTAAAAAACTGAATTCCAGAACACTACACAATGAAAGTAAAAGAGTCCATTTCAACTCGGGGAGCTGAAGCCAAACACAACTGAATTTAAATTAGAAAAAAATAATAAAGGAAAAAACAGAATTTACATAACATATTCCGATTCTGATGCAGATGAAATTCCTCCATTCCTCGCAGTGATTTGTATCGAGCTATCGTTAGCACAGTTCATTTTCTCGATTTGATCCCACGTTAAGAACTAGCTCTATGGAACAAATGTTCATTTTGTCTGATCACTTTCTGCCCCCCCCATCAACGGGTGTGTACAGTTAATGCGTCGTGTGGATTCTAAGATACAGCAATGTAGAAACACAGCATCTTTTCACGTAGGTATTGTGTTTTGTTTCAGTTACTGTTACGTTTTCTTTTTTGTTTTTTTTTCCATAGATTTGTTTTTTAAAAAGGAACAGCAAAGTCTGTTCTCCCGCCGGGCGGCCAGAAGGGTTGTGTTCCCGTGTGCACGGTGGAGGTGCACAAGACGGATTCGCGAGGGCGTCCTTTTTAAAAGTCGACAGCAACCAGAATGTATCAGTTCTCTCCTGACATCGGCCTTTCACTTGTGTCGCTGAAGAGCTTTCCTCTTTCTCCTCTTGAAGAAGCAACAGCACCTGGGTAGGAGATATATAAAACATTATAAACATCTGGAATCTGGAATTTCTTCAGCACTTAAATGTTTTTTAAATATTTTTTTGGAATCAACAATGAGCAGGTTTATTTCTCCACTTGCCCTAGATGTGAATCACCAGCTGTTAGTCACCTCATCTCAGTGCTATTACCAGCAATTGGAGGAGCACAGAACAGAGGAGGATCATAAGCACTAGGTGACTATCAGTTCATCTGCTTTTTTTCACATTGGGGTCTCACTGCATCCACAGTTAAAATGTCTTATGTAGGACTGATGCAGCTCTTGGTAAAAATACTTAGATCAAGGGGGTCCAGCAAACCGAAGAGCTTGGTGATGTGTGGTGGGGTTAAGAATACTTGTCAGAAAACAACCAGTGCTGGCAAGACGAAACCGGGGAATCCATCTCACAGAAGACAAATTAAATCAGTGATCTCTGCTTTACCAAATCAAACCGGCTTTTCAGACAGAACTCCTGTTAGATGAGCCCACAGTCTCATCTCAGATGTGATCTAAAATTTTGGACTGCTTTACAACAAGACGACTCGGTTTGTAAACTCAGTATCCAGTAAAAAAAAAAAAACAACAGGGCTTAGGGCGGGCACGCCCTGCATCCTGCAGATCACTAGCTCTGACCCGAATTGTGCAGTAAAGCCAGCTGTGGCCAGGACCGCCGAGATCTGATGTGTCGATCAGGCGCATGGGAAACTCCTGGGTCTCTCCGGTTCGGGGGCTCTGGGCCTGTGATGCTGAGATCTGAGCATCTGGGCTGAGTGACACAAGGGTTCTAGCCCTTGTGACCTAAAAGCACAGCAAGAAAGGCAGAGCATGGCCTGGCAGAGCACACATTAGAGCATGTGTTCACACAGCGCACCAATTTCAAGAGCAGGCACCCTGTGACGGGCTTGTAGCAGCGTGAACGCTAACTAAAACATGAGAAAAGGTATGCACATGAAGAAGTACAAATCCAAAAGTCCTAAATGTTAAAAAAACAGGTAAATCAATTCGGAAGCGATCAATAAAGAACATACTTGGTGTCGTCGGCCACCTCCACCTCGGCCGGGGCAGTGATGGGGGCGTTGGAGTGCCCTGCCGTGGGGTCGTCGGCGTTCAGCTCCCCGTTCGTCGAGCTCATTACCTGGGCGAGGGGAGAAGACAGGTTACCGCAGTGAAAGAGCAGGAACTCCAGTGGCAAATACGGATCCCTCCGTCCCACCACACCTGTTCTTTAAAAGCACACCATCCAGCAGGGTTCACAGGTCAGCCTTGAACCAGACTTAAACAACTTGAAACAGAATGGCTAACAGAGCATTTCGTCCACGGAAGCAATTTACAGACAATCCGACACAGAAACCACAACGCACTTCAGATCACAAAGGACTGAGGTGGTTAACAGGAACTCAGCAGAACTCACTACATACTGAACTGCGAACAGGCACTGCACTACACCCTGGCTGTGGGAGTTAGGACAAGCCACACCGGAAGATGATACCCTGGCTTCTTAGAAGACACAACCTCACAAGATTCTCAGAGCAACTAGCTACTGACCTACATGGGCCTCATGGCTTCTCATTTGCAACTTGTCTCATATTCTTATGTCTCCAGAAACAGAAGATTTTAGAACGACCTGTGCAATGTCCCTGCATTTTTCTCCACATCCCTCAGGTGGGGAAATGGTGACCACCACAGTACTGACAAGTTTTCCCATTTCATAATCCTCAAAGGCGATTCCTGTTATCACAGTTCTAATAATCATTTTAATATTAAGAAATCTTGTTTCCTGTAAAGGAAATTACTGCGTCCTGACCCTACTCTGCAGAACAACACACCGCATGGTATCAGTTCAAGAACCAGTTTCAGGATCAGAAGGTGTGTTCCCTAAAGATAACACCAGATGGCGGTGTGTATTCAAGCCTGTAAAAACACTGGCAAAGCTTATTCTGTTCAGTTCTAAAGCTGATTTGTCATACAAGGAATGATGCATTTCTAAAAAAATGACCAGGGGGAAATCAAGCACAATGAGCTTTATTCATTTTAATTTGTACAGCATTTGCAGAACTGAAAATGTATTCAGTCTTCTTTAAGAAAACAAGAATAACAGTTGTGTCAAACTAAAATTCCACAAAGAACAGTAATTTCATTTCAAAACATGCCTTAAGCCCAGGACAATATTAACACATCAATGACACCTTCGCAGAGTTAAGAGGCAGAAAGCTAAAGCATCTTGTTTCATAACTCAATTAAAAGTGACTGGCTGCCAACAAATCCAAAGAGACATTTAGGGTAAAAATACATCCTTTTTAGTTCTGAAGAGTGATGGAACCAGATTCAAGTATTTAAAATCCTCAAAGGCCTGGATAAAGTCAACCAAGTGGACCTCCTCAGAATCGACAGCGAGACACAGAGGACAGAAATGGAAAGCACATTTCGAGCCGAGATCATGAGGCACATGTTTACACCAAGGGTTGTGGGAGTCTGGAACAGGCTGTCAAAGGTGTTGCCCTGGCTTCCTTCTAGTAAAAGCTGGACCCAAACATCCAAACAAGCCAGACTGACTAAGTGGCCTCCTCTGGTTTGTAACCTCCCTCATGTTCCTGATGATGCCAGCCCAGTTAACACAGCCAGACATGAAGCACAGCTTGACGCAGGCAGTGGCAGCTTGATGTGCTCAGTAACTGGGAATTCTCGCACACAGACATACATTCACACGTCCAGGCCATTCCAGGCTTTATCACACCACAGAAAAACAAAGATCAAGTACAGTTCTGTGACAAACATGGCATGTTTGGGAATTCTAGTGTTTGAAATTGGCTCCTTAACCGAAATGGTCCGTAAGGTTAGCAGCCTTATTAAAGAACTCCTAGAGACTTGATACTGCTACTTCTAACATCCTTAAGGTTAATTAAACTTGGCACCACAGAGGGCACTGCTGAGTCATCCATCCTAATGGATACAACCTTATTCACATCTCTGTCTCTCTTTATACAAATAGAGGCTCATTAGTCTTTAAAAATGTCAGGATAACCACCAGTCTTGATATGTATTAACCACTTAATACATATTAAGCTACATTCCTTAACCTTTAAAGAAATAGCTTTAAAGAAATACTGGTAACATGTTTGGCTCCGCTAAAGAGGGTCTTGAAATCTATGATTACAGATGGCACAGCTCTTGTCTTAGTGGTTCCTGCTGTTTGACAGTCATTCACATGGACTACACACTGTCAGCAGGGCATGCAGCATGCAGAGAGAGGCTGGCACATGCTGCATGTACACAGGCAGTACCTGGACAGAGCCCCCGAGCCTATCGGCTGTGAGATGAGACCCCAGGAGCTCCCTATTGGTCACTGGAGTGGGCTGGGACTCACAGGTTCCTTTGAGCTCGGGAGACTGGCGCAATAGCAGGGCGTAGGGGGTAGTGAGGAGTTGGAGAAGGGGGAAAAGGTGGTTTAATGGGGAATAAAGAAAAAAAATTAAAGACATGCAATAGCAGGCATGTTAATTATTAGAATAATACAAAGAGAAAATAAAACATGCAAAGATGAAGGACCAAAAAGTGCCAAAATCCTACATGTAACATCTGTTTCGTGGTAGATTCTGTCATTAAAGTGGATAGTGATAATACTGTATAGTAGTCCAATTCCATTCTCTCTCTCATTGGTTTCATTTCAATGCAGAACACAACTTCATTGCCAAACACAAAGTGCTAGAGTGTCAGATCCTAGTGCATCAATACCCTGGAGCAGGGATTGGAGTGCTCACAGAACTGATTTACACTAATGTCATCACCTGATCAAGAAGGGTGATGGAAATCCTGATATTTGTTAGCTATGCTTCTCATTTTTGTGTAAGGGCTTTCAAGGAGAACGTAAATTGATTTTTCTCTGCAGAAGTTAAGACCCTGAGAGAAAATATTTGAGAATTCTGGAAATAAAAAGTCCTCCTAACTTCATATTCAAGAATACACATCTCTGAAGTTCCAATAAAAAGCTCTTACATTATAATAAAGTTCCTGCTACACCTTTGACATTTGTTTTTACATTATACAACTCAACAGCTTGTTTAATACAATCATTTGTATCGGCAGAACTATTTTTTTCTGCCAAACAAATGACACGAACAACCAAACACAGCAGGAACCGTGCTGGCTATCACAGAGGCGACAGGATGACAGTGCAGGTGTTCAAAATAATAAACAGCAGTCAGGTGAAGTGTAGCACAAAACAGGGTCCGTTCCATGCTTACCAAACTGACATTGACCACATGACTGCTCCTTGTACAGTCAGGGATGGAGAGCAATATGTCAAATACATGCAAGGTGACTTTAGCATTGAAGTGAAGTTAGCATTTTCAAATTCAGTATAGTGGATTCAACCCTGGTAGTTCAGACCGTTTTCTTCTGCATCATAAATGTGGTTTCAGTGTGGTTTGATCCATCCATCATCATCATCTTCATCACATTACTTTCAATAACCACAATCCAATATAAAGTTACGGGGGTCTATCCCAGCAAGCACCGGGCACAAGGTAGGGTACACCCTGGACAGAATGCCAGTCCATCGCAGGGCACACACCAGACAAGCCCAGACACACACTCTCACACCTGGGTCAATTGCACAGCAGCCAATTAACCTGCCAGTATGGACTGTGGGAGGAAATTGGAGCACCCTTAGGTAACCCACACGAACATGGGGGGAACATGCAAACTCCACGCAAATAGCATCTCTGGGCCCAAGTACTGCAAGGCAGCAATGCTCACCACTGTACCAGCATGGTTCGGTCCAACAGTGTGTTTTCAAGCACAAGCTCTTGGAAAGCACATTCTAGCAACTGCACTGAAATAATGCAGTACAAATAAACCACAAGCGCAAAAGGGGCATGTACATTAGGTCCTCTGTTTGAGAAACTCTGGGATACAATTAGCAGTCCCCTGTAAACTTGGGTAGAGAAATGGACAGAATAATCCCGAGTCATATGTGCTCAATCAATGAACTACACAAGATCAGAGTGAGTAACTCTAATTGCAGTGAGCACTTATGAATTAATCATTGGAAGTCAAGTCTACTCCATCAGGGAATGAAGAGGTACGCGCAGTGACAGCAGATATGTAGTGGCCGTTTAAGGGGTGAGAATGTGCAGGTAGGGTACATTTAGTGAGAGCTATACAGTTCTGCATCAGTCCTACTGTATCTACACGCATGAAGCGAGGACTACAGATTACAGACAGTAAAACAATGCAAGGAGTACTAATTCTACAGTTGTGGGGAAAAAAAACAACAGCACCAGGATCACACAGACTGCATGTAAAACCAACAACGTGAAATGAAATCAATGTGAAAATCTTCTGTACATTCTAAAGAGAAAGTAGTCTGCAATGGAAACAATTCCAGCCAGTTAATACGAAACCTTAAAATGGTTAAATTAATTTTCAAAATTGAGAGCAAAAAAAATAAGTTAAAAAGTTCATCTAGAGACTGACTGTATGGCTGCCTGGATTAATCCTATTAATCCTGTAAATTCAGACAGTGAAAGAAGAAAGTAACTGTGTTATGAAACACACCTGAACTTCAATAAAACCATCAATAACAAAACTCTTGTACTGAAATTGTCCTGTGAAATCACAACATCTCTTACTAATAAAGCTGACCAGACTCACCTGGTTTTTGGTCTGCTGTTGTGCTTTGTCTCTGTTGCTGGGCGGCAGGGGCGTGTCACTGTGGACAGGACCAATGGGGGTAGGCTGCAGAGCCAAACAAACGACAGGTTACAGACCTGACAAGGGGCGAGTCCTCGGTACAGCTTGAACCATACTTGCTCACTTAGACAGGCCTTATGCAATCTAGAGCTGGGTTTCTGGATCTGTATCACAATCCTACAGCTGCAGATCACTTTGTTGGGAGAACCGATTCCAACTGCATGTTGGCATTAGCAAATGACAGCAACTTGTGACAAGCTCAGTGAGGCAACCCTTAACAGATTAAATCTCAGCTGCAACACTTGAACACTCAGCTGGGGCATTTCTGAAGAATCTTGTCATTGGGGTTTTATCACTCCCTGCTGTTCAAATGGCCTCATTTAACGCTTGAGTGGAGATTTACTCAGCAGAGAGAACCTGTCTCAATGAGAATGATAAAACCTGGACAAACACAAAACGTCTGTCCACACCGAAGGGACGGACAACACAATGGTTTATGTTCCTAAAGGTTTGCCACTGAGAGACGCATTGTGCATCTCCGTTTCGGCCATACTGAAAGAGAATCAGGCTCTCTCACTACCTGCTGCCCACTGGATAAGAGATTTTATGCATTTCCCTAAAATGGTCACGGAATTAGCATCAAGAAAGTCAAATCTGTAACTCACAAGTGTTTTGCCAACCCAGTCATATTCATAGTCGAAGACATAGCCATTCTTGTCGAAGAGGTCAGTGAAGAGTTTCCTTAAGTAGTCATAATCTGGTTTTTCGAAGAAGTCCAGCCTCCTCACATAGCGCAGATAAGTAGCCATTTCCTCTGTGATCATTAACAGAAGAGAACAAAACAAACTCTTCAGTGAAACACAGGAAGAACACAGTATCTTTTAGATCGCTCAGGTGGATGGGTGATGATGGGTGTAAGGCTTGTTTTTACATGTACAACATAATCAAATTGTTTTACCTTGTCACAATCAGATTCATTTTTTTGCAAATAAACAAGAAATAATTCCAAAATGCCGTAGCAGAACTGGCCATATGTAACTGGGCTAGAAAGGTTACTATAATGATACCATTTACCCCAGTGAACCTGAAGATGGTGACGTGTTTATCCAAAAACCTGACCCAAACCCCAGTCTTCACCTCTGGCCACCTTTATTAATAAGATAACCAGATGCATAGTTTTTGGGTCTTATACCAATCATGACAGCATGCCAGAATCCAGAAACTAATGTTATATCAAAGTCATAAACATGAAGATAATTTCAGGCACAAGACATTTTTTTAACTTTCACATGTTCTCTAAGGCAGCAAGAGTCACAAGAGGAATCAAGGTCTGCTGGAAGAACAAACATTTCTCCCAATTTCTGTCATGTATGGCAGGCTGCAGCTGGGTGTGAAAATGCATGTCATTATTAAATAAAAGGAGATTATAGTTTTAGTGAGAATGCAGGCATCCTTGTCACTCTGCTGTTTTGTGAGGGTATTTCTATCTATTCACCAACCCAAGCTGAGTTTTACCAAGATGGGATCATCAAGCAAGTGACAAGATTTAATGGGAGTTATGTGCAGGTATACTCCCTTTCCATATCCAGACTGCGCCCGATCAGTAAGGAGCACAAATCATGTAATACTGCAGGTGAGAAATGCTTTATAGTATGTAAGGAATCTTAACACTGGAAAGTGTCTGAAAGTAGATTCCTGAAAGTGTTTTTTTCTTATTCCCCAAAAAATCTCATGATTTTATTTTAACATTCTAGTGGCTTTAAATTACCACCAATTAATATTTAGTTATAGTAACACATAAGTAGTGTCTGCACATCCCTGGGTCTTTAAAAGTAAAGTTGCACATACATGTAGGTATTTATGTCACAGGTCTCAGGTGAAGCCATTAGAGCAGAGAATACATTTATTTTTCCTGTGTGAAATCCACATAACAGATCCATAGATTCTTCTTTAATTTTCTGTTTATCAGTCTATAAAAGCTCATGCCCTTACAAAGAGATGAAACAACTCAAACCTGGGAAGCTTTCGCAAAGCACTTCAACAGGAGTCGCCCGTTTGGTGTCGCCAATTTTCTGATATCGTTCCTTCAGTGTGTCAGCCTATAATGGAAGAAAAAATGCACACTTTCAGAAGTTTTTTCTCTCATGTATGACATATTACCAGCTTCTAACCCTACAGATCTTTTGCTTTTAACTTGCTCCCAAACTCTGGGCACATCTGGAGAAGTAGTGCAGGTGCAGACGTTCAAAGCTGAAAAGAGCACACAGCCACAAATGTAAGATCATCATTTGTTTTGCTTATGTATTTTTCCCCTTTATCTACAAGGAACAAACTTCGTAGAGATATCCTTGGACAATTTTGTAATGTAAATAGGATTACTCCATTTGAAACTGCTTGTGTCTGTTCAAGGGAAATGTTGTACATTGTGAGCCTGTGACCTTTATGACTGCCTGGGATCATCAGCTGCTTCTTTTGCAAGAACATGAGGGGTCTTGTTCTTCAAGTTAACATTGGGATACATAATTGCCCAGGTTACCCCCTCATTAATGTAGGAAATGCTCAGAAATGAAAACAGCAAATTCGTCTTGGACATTGAAGTCATTCTAAGGGCCCTTCCAGCCCCTATCTCTGTGGCTCTTTTGTGTGCGGAGATCCCTCAGAAAGATATGGGCTTCAGTCATTTTCACCAGTGCCACTACCTGCACTGTCACAGCACCGATAACAGGCAGCAGAGGAAAATGAAATGGCTAACCTTAGATTAACATCTCTGCTGACAGAGATACTACTTTGCTGAAGCACACAAAATAAAGGTCAGCAAAGGAAGTACCATTTCACCTTGTTTTTGATATCTGGCAAAGAAGTCAATCTTAAGTATCATTATCAAGTATCAAGACAGTGGTTCACACAAAGATTCAGTTGTACAGTGAAGTAGCATTCTTTCATTAATTTAACGTAGATGCTGAAGTTCTGTTGCACTGTTGTGTTATTTTCTAAATGGACATTCAGACACCTGCTAAAATCTAATCCATAAACTACCTTCCATTCAGCAGAATATGATGGTGGTGATGGCAGCAGTATACTGTTGTCAACAAAGGCTTTTTTCACATATTTGCAGTCAGACTTTCCTTTACTCCTGGTTTGGCCAATGACTTCTCTAAGGAAAAAACCTCTTTTCGCTCCTAAATTCTCCCCTTAACCTGTAATTTGAGAAGCTTTGGAGATGCCTTTCAGTACAATGTTTCACGTCCTCACTAGTAAATTATGACAATGTGGCAGAACCCTCAAAATAGAGCTTCGAATTTCAGCTGCAATGATTTTTTTTTAGCCATTCCACTGGCAGGTTGCACAGAAGCACACAACCACCCCCTCTCTGACCTTCAAACCCTGCCACGGCAGGCTGCCCCTGAGGAAGTACATGAACATGTGCCCCAGTGCTTCCAGGTCATCTCTTCGACTTTGCTCTGCGACAACAAAAAGAAACATTATTAAGTTAAATGGTGTTTTGTACCACAGTATTGTACTGTTGTTGTACTGTACTACTGTTATTGTTATATATACTATACATTTATGACCTCTTGATGTGCAAGACAAAATCTCTTAGATTATTTCAAAATAACTTAATAGAATTCAATTATTTTGATAGGGATTAAGGCTGGCTTTCACAAAGTACACTACATGTGAAAAGAACAATATGTCACCTCACAGAGCGTTTCCATGACACCTGAAGCCCTGTTAGAAACAGATCTCCGAGAAACCGGACTGGCAACAATCCGTTTGAACCCTGACATTGGATTCAGGACTCAGATATCCTGCCGTTAAGACTTCAGGGTTCTGGGTTCTGTTCCATACTATGCACATCACAGAGCAATAAGAATATTACTCCTGGAACAATTACTTACTCTCTCTCTCCTTGGGTTACTTGAGACTCGACACACATAACTCTGGCTTTATGTAAAAACTTCCCAGAGGTCCCACAATCAAATTTTTGAATTACAGAAAGTTGCCATTAGATACCCAAAGAGAAATTAGTGCGGCAAGTTCCTCCGTGGACGAATAGTGAGGAGTGAGTATGATCTGGTCAGTAGCGCATGTGTGGCTTCCTCAGCCTGTCACTATTTATTGACTGGATATTTTTTCAGTGTGTTCTTTTCTATCTTTAATGATTCCATCATTATTCTAATTATTGGGTATTCATTTTTAAATTAAGCATCTTTTTTTTTAAAATTATAAACATCAGAAATGGTACCTTTCTATGGTCACACAATGGTAAAGAAAGGATCGCTGCCAACGTTCGTGAAACTCAGCTTACGCACAGACCCGTGGAACCGAACCCTTATGCAAGTCAGGGAAACGGAAGCAACAACTAGACAGATCTCAAGACATTTAATCCCGTTGTTATGCTATGAACCACAAAAGCCTTCCAAAAGAATGACATGATTTGGTGCTGAACTTCTCTTGAAATTTAAAAACGCCTCAGCTGTCATACTAAAATAATAAAATAGCGCCGACTGGATTTCATTTCAATTTGTTTTGGCTTCTACGCGTTGCTGGCGGCGTGGCGTCCTCAGTGGGCACTGTGCTGGCCCTGGCTCTGGCTCACCTTTCCCCAGGTGGGTGTTGATGCTCATGTAGCGCGCGGTGCCCGTCAGGCTCTTGTGCTCCCGGTAGGGGATGTGTTTTTTGGTCTCGGGGTCGATGTATTCTTTGGCCAGCCCAAAGTCAATAATGTGGATTGTGTGCTGCCGCTTGCTGCCCGGCCTCCCCACCAGGAAGTTCTCCGGCTTGACGTCTCTGTATATCAAGCTTTTGGTATGTACGTACTCCATCCGCGTTATCTGAAAAGCAGCCATGAAAACCAGAATAGTGCTTCAGAACTCTGCGCTCCCGGCGGTCTCTCCCTCTCTTATCCTGAGCCCGACCCGTTGATTTCGGTGATCTAGACAAGGAAAACGATCAAATCTGCGCTTGAAGATCAGGAGAACGCGGACTTCAAAGCCCCTTACCAACTGTATGGCTATCATGAGGACAGTCTTGAGAGAGAAGGTCCTGTCGCAGAGGTCAAAGAGGTCCTCCAGGCTGGGCCCCAGCAGCTCCAGGACCATGGCATTGTACTTCCCACATGGGCCGAAGTAGTACACCTGAGGAATGCCCTCTGAAACACAGAAACACAGGACGCACCCACTCAGGTCACTTCCTGGGCCAACAATCAGGCACGTAAACATTCAAGAAGACTCACAGAGTCCCACAGAAAAGCACCGCCCCGCCCCTTCTGAAAGAATCAGGCAGCCCCCTCCAGGAGTGACTGGACATCTCCAGAGCTACCATTACACTAGGTGGGAAGGAGCCCCTCCTTTCAAAAGGCCTGGTTTTGCAGAGCCGGCGCTAAGACACTAGTAACCTAGTGGAGTGAAATGACTGCGTTTACGATGTACTGCCTCATCCCGATGGCCTCCAGAGAGCTGGATGCTCTCCCAGATCAGAGTGACGCGCTGTGCCCTAATCTCCAGCAAGTTCCACGGCCCCCAGGACCGGGCTCTTGTGCACATCAATCAGTGCTCTCTAACTCCTCAGACAGATGCGCGGTGTATATCACTGGGCAGCCAGAGCTTAGGAGCTTAGCAACGTCACCACAGCAGGGGGCTTCAGCCTCCTTTAGCACATCCTTTTCAGGCTTCAGATATAAGCACCGTCACTTTTTCCATCACCCTGAAAGGAGGCTGTCTTTCCTGCCCCTTCAGTTTTGTTTCCAAGCTTGATTTTCTTAGGGAATTCTTGTTGTACAGAAAACAGAAACTACATGCAAAAAAAAACTAGCTGCTAAATGCTAGGAAGCACCGTTCCAGCAGATGTCTCAGCAGCTCAACAATACAGATGAAGAATGTAATAATAACGAAGGTTAACAACCTAAAAACAACCTAGGCACCTCTGCTACCATACTTGGCAATAATCTACTTGTAAAGAAACTCTTCAGAACCGGTTTGGGTCTCTTACTCTGGTAACGTACCTAAGAGTAGGGCTTCTAGCCAACAGGAAGTGATATCTCAACTTACCACAAGCTGCATGAGACATACTGAAAAAAGGCTCTTGTAAAACTCAGAGAGCTTTAACTTTGTAGTGTATAAAAATAAGTACTTAAAAATTCAAGTCTGCACTTTGCCCTATTTTTAACGCCACAAAAACTCTCATCCTGTTTCATAAAGTGGTTAGCCTGTAATATGCACAAGTGGAGCCGATGTGCTTGTGAGTCCATCTCAGCAGTCCTTTCTAATTAGTCGTATAATTAGTAATTGTCACTGAGCATCTCATGAGTAAAACAAGCTAATTAGTTGTGTTCCTGCCAATGTAGTTCACTTCCCTGTCTCCGGCTGATTTAAGGAACGTTAGCACTGGAAAGCATTCTCTCACACATCAGCCACAGGTCCATTACATGCATGAAGAAACATGGAAACTGATGGGAAAACTGCTTAATGTACATTTATATTTTCAATGCAATGAAACATATTTTTGACAATTCTGAGATACGTTTATTTTGTGCAACAGCGTTAATTAAAGTCTGTTTTTTGTCATACTTTAATTTACATTAAACGTTATTTAGAATGCAGTTTTTTTAAAGGAAAAGCTTTTAAAAACCAAAATGAAATGCTATAGAGCACGGTTTACTTCAGCACACTGTGAAATACATAGCCTAATGTCTCCTGTTCTGTCTGTTGAAGTAGACCAGTCTCAAGTTCTTACTGATGGTCTACTGTTGAGCTGAAGGTCAAAGTGAATTTACTAGACCAGGTGAAATATAGATAAAATCAGCCAGTAAGCTGAATCATTTGGACTTGACCTTTCACTGTTGCAGGTCTACCCAGCCAGCCTTTATTTCAAGACACTTTGTTTGCAAAACAAAATCGAAATTGCCCAAGTTTGGTCTGAACAAGTGAATCTGATGGCCATCACTGCTTCTGCTTTCAAGCCTTCGCTGTGATCAACAACAAAGATAAAAAAAACGATAACATTACATGTTCAACTGAGCAAGACGGGAATGAAAATCCACACCAGCAAAAATCAGATTGCTACAGAAACAAGCGCGGCCGCTACAAAGATAAGCAACACCTCATGCCGTGTGGGAAGGTGTTCCCAGCTTTCTCTGGCAGCTGTGCTGCTACACAGCGCAGTTTGAGCAGATAGAGATCAGCGGCAGGGCTGAGTTGAGAAGGCCAACTATAAATAGCATTTTAAGACACTACAGCCCTTGTACTCGGGTTTGTTACTCATGCATATTCTCAAGAACTGGCAGATATCAGCTCTGTACTAGTCTGGGAAAAGACGCAAAAACACTGTGTTGTTTCTTCAGTAGCAAAAACTCATCACCCAGAGCCAAAGTGCTCCATTAAAAAGTATAATTCTCTAAGTGCTGAAGAAGACAGATTGCACTGCAATCCATCATAATCTGTTTTTCTCTAATGAATTATTTTCCAGTGTTAAATTGATTATTCTATCTATACTGTATATACACATCTCTTTCTCACGCACAGGTCTCTCTCTCTCTCTATGCAATTTAATGTTTTTTTACGCATGAGGTTCACAAGTTGTTTTTAGAAGTTTCGGAGATAGTAGAGGTGAAGAAGGGGCTCCGACAACGCGGCTCGGCAGCTTGTGCTGGTCTAGTCTGGGAAGCAATCTAGTGGCTGTGAGTCCGGGGTAACCACAGCTCTACGCCCTCCCTTAGCCTGCCATCAAACACTGAAACTGCACGGCAGGCAGGCAGCGCCTCCCTACTTCAAGGCCCGAAAAATAGCTTCTGGCAAATGGAACCAACGAAAGCCCCAGCTGCCTGAAATAGCCAATGACACAAAGAATGAGAATCCGTGCGGACTTTAAAACACAGAATCGAAACACATCCTCATTATTTCCTCATTGAAATAATGCTCACTGAAATCCCCACCAACTCAAAACCAGAATTTGCACTGTAAATGGATGTTACTGTTTTGTCAACACCAGAGCTCAATCACTGGTAGTGTAAGACGAGCACTGTGAAATTCCAACTTAGAAACTCTTTTGTTCCAATGAACTCAAAATGGAAATCAAATGCAGTCATAAGAACGAGAGACTTGCGCTGGGGTTTGCCAGACTACTGATTCCTCTGACATTTCAGTTCTCCTCACAAGAGCTGGATCAGAATGAGACCTACAGCCTCCAGATGAAAGCATCCGGACAGGGAGGAGCTAAGACCCTGGAAAGGCAGGTAGAATATCAGGTGCTGAGCCAAGATCATGGAGAGAACTTCCTGTTCTGGCAGGAACAGATGTTTTGCCTTTACCTGAATTTCCCAGCTGTTTGTAAAACCTGTATTCCAAATGGAGCTGTGGTGCCCTGGACTTTATGGGTTCCTGAAAGAAGAAAACAAAAACACAAGATCAGCACGGTCATCTCAGTCTCAGAAGACTGAGACAGCAAACCAACAGGTATAGAGTAGGCTTGACTGAATCTGGAAGACTGGAGCCAGTACAAAATGGGTTTCACCTGCACAAAAAAATCACATGTGTACATCATTCTTTCAGATCAGGGCTGAGAGCCGAGAAGGACAAAGACTGTATTCACATTAATACATCCGTCACAACCTCACTAAGCAACAGAAAAGAAAGCTGAACAGCAGGTAAAACACAATAAATAAACCGAGGATTATCAGCCCTACAAACCTGCCCTGGCATGTGTTTATCTATCGTTATCTTACCGCTTCTCCCAGGTAAGGCCTGCAGGGGAGCGGGAGCCTGCTCCGGGTGCAAGGCGGGACACACCCTGGACAGGAAGCCAGTCCACCGCAGACGCAGACACACTCAGACCAGAGCCAACTGTCCAAGAAACTAACCTACCAGCACGTCTTTGAACTGTCAGAGCGCCCAAAGGAAACCAAATCAAACACGGAGAACATGCAAACTCCACACAGACAGCACCCCAGGGCACCACGGCAGCAATGCTGACCGCTGCCCGGTCATCAAATTAAAGATGTTTTTATAGAGGCTACCTTTCTCCCCAGAAAGACAGGTTACCACAACAAACAAAACAGAATCATTAAAGAAATATTCAGAACACAGACACAAGTAAGGAAACAGCTGGAAACAGATGAAGTGAATTACAGGACATCCTCAAACACATAATGGGAAAATGTATTCACATCTGCCCTTTAAAAAACTCTGCTAATGGCAAGGCGGGTATTTCCCAATACTACAGTCATTATTACACATGATATACAGCAACAGAAAAACTGCTTGGCACTACAGTAAAGATACCTTGCTTAAACAGCAGGCAGAAACATTTCCCCCCAATACTACTTCGGCGAAATGGTAAAAACTTCGTTGGGTTCCACCCTTCAAAACAAACCCCTCGCTCCAGGAACATCACAGAACACTTCAGCACGTTAAGACATACTGAGCATTTTAGGATGTTGCTAACTGCACCTGACGAAATTTAAAACAAGAATCAAGAAACAAGTTAATAAAGGTTTGGCGGTGGAAGTTTATTTCAGCGCAAGCAGAGCGGGCTCTGGCTCGATCACACACCTACACTGCGGCCGGCCTGACCCAGAGCCTTCAGACTGTACTGGCTTCCTCCACACCCGCCTGCTGCAGCCAGGCTGCTGTGGCCAGTGCAGCGATTTCAAGACCGCAGGGGCCACCCCTTTATCATGAACACTGAGCTTCTACATAACTTCCACCCCCAGCACGCCTCCTCTAGACCACAGGCCATTCCCGGAAAGGACGATGGAAACGGAAACAGCCCGGGCACATCACTGTGTGAAGACCCCTGCACCACCGTAAACCTGTCTACCTATAGAGTGCAATTAATAGCTTGACTCAGAAGTCGTTATGTTGGATTAAGTAACGGTTTATAAAATTGGCTGGGGGAAGCAAATCCCAGGTAGGATTCAGCTGCTGCACGCTTGAGCACAGAAACCCCCTCCAATTGCTGCAAGTGAGATACAAGCGTCAGTCAAATAAAGACATCTTAATAAAACATTATGATCACCCACTGCGTTTCAGAATGGACTACAGCAGCATGGTAGCAGCTTTCTGAGAATGAGCTTCCTGGGCCGTGCTTTCGAAATGAGTGCAGAAGATCATCTTCAACACTACTGAAGGGCCACATCCATCCATTTTCTACCTGGTCCATCTGATTCAGGGTCGCAGGAGAGCTGGAGCCTATCCCAGCAAGCCACAGGTGGGACAGGATACCTGTATGTCTTTGGACTGTTGGAGAAAACTGGAGAACCTGGTGAAAACCCACACAAACTGCACACAGACAGCACCCCAGGATGTGCCGTGAGCCCCACATAGTGATCTACCAAATAAGATTGTTAGTGAAGGAGAGCACTGAGACGTCACTGAGACATAAGGGCTGGTACAACAACAAGTGAAATGCATAATAGAGCACAAGCTATCTGAGATTTCTACCCCTGGTTTTGAATATAGGCACACACTTTCTGAGACTTTTATTCAGCGATTCATGCTGTTCACTAAATAAAACTTATACACTGTTTGTCAATTATATTTTCTCAGTTTTGCAGTATTGACATCATGGTGCTAAACTGAGTGAATTTATTAGAAAGTTTTCATTACCGCATACTAAGAATAAGTGCTCAACATGCAAAGTATAATTCAACTATAGTTTATCACAGTTAAGGTGGTGAATAACCTTGTTTCAGGTTACAGGATCAAAATACAATACACAGGAGCCTCCGAAAATATTCATACTCCTGATACAAGGCAACAAAGTTAATTTTAGCAAACACAAATCAAGCATACAAACTGTATTTACTGCACATTCAGTAACAGGACTGACGATTACCAGTTTCATCTGTAGAACAAATCCATCCAAAATAACTGCATACTTTCAAAATACAATATACTACATTATTCACTCCCTAACAATCTGTTGAAAAGGAGCTCTTCACAGCCCAACAATCCATATTAGATACGTATCAGAGAAGGTGCTTCCTGCATCCTTTTAATAATTTCAGGCACTTTATGAACTTCCCTTCCCCCTAGTTCATACGACAAATATTCTCTTAAACTGCACTCTTAAGATTGGGAACGACCTATTAAATACATTGATTTTGTGCTCGTTCAATGTAGCAGTATATTCAGAGGTGTCACCTTGTCATTATCTTACCGTCACCAAGTTTTAACTACTTCACAGAGAAGACTTGGCTTAGGGATGAAATATCCTGAATTATTGTAGTACGTCAGTCTCTCAGTTCACACAAGGACACCGGGACGAGAAAGCACACAAATCTGGAATAAACAGATCCATGTGTATAGTAAGGGTGAAGTCTCTTCCCAGTATGCCTGATCTTGTTGATGATGGACCCCAGTGTATTGTGACACCAGTCAATAGTGGAACACCTTGTTGATCTTTTACCTTCTGGATTTTTTAGAACTGTTACTCCAGTTGATGAGAACTATTTTCTTTAACTTTACATCTCTGGAAAATTCTCCGACTTCCCCTGTAAAAACAGTGTAAAGTGCTTGGCTTCCTTTTTCAGCCTCTTTGAACATCCAGTAACGATCAGTTTCTCCCAAAAAGCTTCTGTAAACCCTCTGAGGCTTTATCAAAGTACCAGTCGTATTACTACTGTCTAAACATCAGAAGATCAATTTGTTCAACATGTACAGAGTGTGAACATTCATTTTTCCAGTTATGCTATTGCTATTCTCAGTATATTGTTGAAACTGAAAGCCAGGCTGCTATCAAACTGGATGATATCTTCAAATAACTATTAGCAGCCAAATCCAAAGGTATCCAGGCTTCCTCTCATGTTCTTATCATCCACTTTTCACACATTTTCATCACATTTCAATTATTAAAAGTTGGAAAGTCTTGAGACAAACCTTTCTTTCCTATTGTCAACATCTAGTTACATTCCAGCAAGGGTACAAATACATTTGGAGGCAACTGTATTAATAAAAAAATGCATTAAAATGCAAAGCAATATATACAAAGGAATCGCTGACAAATTCAGGATCAAGTTAAAAATGTGAAAACAATTCTTGCCCGTCTGCTGCCTCCTTGACCCAGGCTGAGTGCCGATCTCGAATATCGGTCACACTGTCTTGGGCAGCTGGCTCTCTGTACTTGAGAGTAAAAACCACTTTCATCTCCATTCCAGTTCAGCTGGCCCACCTACTTATACGCCATCAGCAAAAGCAACGCACAAAGCAAACCCCAGCTCAGCCGAATGACGCAGACACAAAATCTGGAAATTCAAGATCAATGAGACTTGGAAAATAAAACTAAATGAATTGCAGTTCTTTACCCTGCCACAGAGAGCACACGGTTTACATTTCAGCACATGCTTCTAGGATGCTATATGCCAGGACCACCTTTAGCTACCAGAGTTGAGTTAAGATTGTGTGTAAAATATAAAAACACAAAATCATATGTACCTACCGATCTTGTGCAAAACACTGAGCAAAAAAAAAGTATGATGAAGAGTTGTATTCTTACAATCAAATGTTCTAGGAGTATAAAGATGGAAGCTCTGTTAGCTAGCAAAACCTGTAGCAAAAGGTTTTTTATAGAGGTGAAGTTCATCCTCTTCTCATCACTTGACCGAAACTACAAAGTGGTAAAAGATGTTACAGTATATGAAAATAAAGGACCAATTTTAAAAAGGAAAGGCAGTGTAATCCATACTTTTTGATTATTTTAACAAGTTTAGATTAGCATCTATGTTATCATGCCTCAGTGGCATCTGCTGTACAATTAAGTGCTTATTTTTACAACCTCTTACAGTTAGGTTTCTGAAATAAACGATAAGGACCTCAGCAAATGACACAGAAAATTCAACTGCATATCTTAGTTTCATTACTATACATTTAAAATATTAATCCACACAATTTACAGCTTGTTTTGTGTGAGGCTTGTACTATACAATAATTTGGTTAAAATAAGAGTGTTCGTATTGGGCCTCATTTCACAGCCCTCCTGACAACTCCGTGCTGTTCCAGAGTAATGACAGTAATGACATTTGAGGAATACTTCAGTACGCCTGCACTAGCCTCAAAGACAATGTTCAAAACACACTGAAAACAGGCTAACTTTAATGCAGACTGTCATTAACAGCTTGCTGCTGGTGTCTGATTCTCAAACAGAAAAAAAACCCCAAACAGAAAAGAAGCATTTGATGTCTTCTGGTTATTTACGCATTTTAAACTTGTGCACATTTTAGGACAATCCTGCTTGTGTCAAACATTTTAACCGTGATGACTTGGTAGTAACATGGGGGAAAAAAGCTCTAAAAGGTGGCGGTGGCGTGGAAACCACAGTTGACATGGATCAGAACTGCAGTTCCCCAGAGCCTGACAGGCCACACTGGGGCCCGATCTCCCCAGTTCACAAATTAAAGTCTCACTGCAGCCCAATCCAGCCCCCCCAAGTCCTTCTGCCAGTAGCAAGCTCTCTACTTAAGAAACACAAGCATGAGCCTACCAATCCAGACGAGTAATGACTTGTCTGGGTTTTAGCAAAGAGGGATCTTATCTGTAAACCAAGGGCACTTTTTAATCAAGAGCCAACGACATGAGGGTCAACCCAACCTTGATTGATTCATCTTAGTCACACTGAAGAGAGGCAGGTCTGTGCCAGGCTGCAGAGCCAGAGAAGCGTGGGCAGACAGGAGGGAGGGGGAGCTGTATTCCTGTTATGCAGTGCCTGACCCAGGAGAAATACCTCAGAAGACAATTCATTACAGCAAGGAAATCAATAGAACAGAGGGCAAAGCAGAGAAATCCTTCAAAATGTTAGTTTCTTCAACACTTTAAAGAGGTGAAGAACACAACTGGAAAACACATGTTCACAGTTTGCTAAAGAGTGATGAGGCAACACTGGCTCACAGCTGATCAGGGAAAAACAAGCCCAGACAAAAACAAACAAATAAAAGCTTTTATAAACTGCTCACGTCTTTATTAGGCTGTATGGCATCCCTCTGGCAATCTTCTGCTCAGAGTTCCCATGAAAAACCATACCGCCGAGTCCAGACTAGACTGCTGTCATACAGGGTGAGCCTACTAACTGAGAACCTTCAATTTGCAACGTCATGAGCATCCTGTGTTTTTCCATAGGAAGCAATAACAAGGAGTGGCTTTGCTCTTTTCTCAGCAGCAACACTGGCACCACCTTGGTCTCAGGTGCTTGCTGTTCTGCTCAAGACCAGGGGCAGGATTATCAGACATGCCGTGTAGTGTGACGCTACAAAACAGAGAGGCAGTGACCCTATTTAGGCGAGTCCTAGTCTGCCTCTGGTGTCTCTGTGGTCCCGGAGGTTATCTGAGGCTCCTAGCATTGTCATCAATGGCAAACACACAAACACACATATCAGATGGCTGCACTTGACCATATTTCTTCCAAGAGAGCAATTGCAGCAGAACAGGAAAAACAAACAAACTGATTTGACTTCTGGCACAAGTGTGCAAATAAGGCCTGTAATCCTTCTCTCCAGGGCCTTTAGATGCTTATACTGTGAAAGGCCCTTCAAGAACACAACAACACAACATGAAAGTAGACACGCAAACGAGTTCAATCTGTTTCTAACAAACTTAGTTCTCTTTCAGAGAAAGAAAAAAAACATCAAAACATACGGTAATGAGGTATCCCACACCAAAACAACCCCATATTTGCTGTTGCAAAGATACAACAACTTGATGCGAAAATGATCACCTGTAAAACAGTACTGCAGTGTAGCTCAGACTTGCAGTTATTTAGAGCATGATTGTTTTATTTACAGTGCCTTCAATTGCTGCCTACAGAAAACTGCTCTAGCAAGAAATGAAGCAGTGATTATCCAGCATGCCAGCCACGCTGCGGTAAAATAAGGTCAGGAGCAGTTATAAATGGACCAGGGATAAAAATATCTAGAGTGATGGGACATTTAAAAGACAAATGGCAATGCAATCGTACAGCACTGATGGTCGTACAGGGAATAGTGTTCACCCATGGCTTAAAAACCAGTCCCTAAAGTTTTACAAGTCCATCTCTTCAAGCCTAACATAAAGGGAACCCTGTCTATAAAGGATAAAAAATTCCTTCAAGGTGCAGAACTCCAACGTTGCAACTAAATACACCAAATAAAAAGTGGAGAGACACCCGGGTTCCGGTCCAGTGGAACCAGGACGCTGAGTGTAGTAGCACGGGGAGTCCACTCATGCCTGGTCACAATGGTCACAGCAGCTTGTGCCGCCAGAGACTGGACTACACCCAGAGGGGACGCCTGTCCACTGCAGGTACAGTCACACAGACACTACTTTATGGAGCCAGCATGTCTTTGGAAAGGGGGTGGAAACCAGAGCACCTGGAGAAACCCAGACTAAGGCCTGGGAGGAAGAGAACATGAAAACTCAACACCGAAGGCGTCCCAAGAGCTGTGAGATACCACCATGACCCTGTACTGCAGAGAGCAGTTACAAAATCAACAGGTGAAAAACAACCATGTATGAATCTACAAGAGAGACAAGGAGCTCCAGTCCTGAAAGACCCAACAAGTTTTAAAATTTCTATTAGCAGATGATTCCAACTTAAAAAACTTCATTTTGACTTTTTATCAAGGTAAAGGGTCAAGCTAAGAGAGGCCATTCCTTAACCCAAGATGAACATGAGGACTTTTTCATACCAACTTAATGAACGCCCGCCCCATGTGGAATCGGCAATCGCTGCATTACATCCTGGCTCCCTGCAGCGGCCCCTGTACTGCGCAGGCGGAACGCAGAAGAGCAGGCAGGTTCCCCTGACCCGCACCGAGCCCAGGCGAACTCCTCGTCCTCTGTGGCCCGTCATAGGCCCGTGGAAGTCACACCACTGCTACTGTGCACTTCTAGTTACTCACTGCTTCAGCGCAGACGATCAAAGGCTGAAGAAAACCAAAACTTTAAAGCGCAAACCCAGGCGTCTGCGATGAATAATACACTCTGTGGCCATACGTTTGGGATCATGTCTTCTGAACAAGAGGAAAAACATAAACATTTTCCCCCAGTAAGAAGGGAGATTTTCCTGCAACGTCAACGGGTGGCCTAACCCAGCGACCACAAGCCCAGCTCGGTTAGGGCCCGTTCACGTGCGTCGACGACCGTAATCCGCGCGCACAACCAGGGGGCGCTCTTGCGGGAGGGCCTTACCAGTTTGATCGCCACGTACTCGTTGGTGTACAGGTTCTTCCCCAGGCGCAGCTCTCCAAAGTTCCCGCAGCCGATCTTTTTGCCCACGCGGAAGTTGGGGCCGACCATGAGCACCCCAGAGTTGGTCCCTGAGCTGCGGCCCCCGTGGACAGTCCTCCCTCCTCCGGCCGCCTTGGACATCCTTTTCCCTTCCTCGGCCTCCCCCTTCCCTCTCTTGTCAAAATCCATAAGCTTGTGATACCCCGGCCTCTCCACGGTTACACCGCTGCCATACAAATCACAGAGCTGCCGAAACAGAGGGGGGGGAGAGCACACGGAACGGCAGGAAAAAAGCAGGTGGCGGCAGGCGCGCAGGGGTGGGGGGGGTCAGACCGGTTCTCCTTGCTTCGCCCCAGATCCTCAGAGCACCATCTCCCACAAGGCCAACACCCAGCTACTGGAACCACAGCACCGCCTGGCAGCTCCCGCCTGCGCCCATGGTCGCCTCCTCCTGGTCAATCTTTGGCGGTGCAAACATTCCTCATGTTCCGAGATGCAGTACGCACAAGCGAGCAGCAAGCGGCAATCCAGCGCTGGGATTCCCTCCGTTGGAAAACTAGAAGAAACATTCAAAAAAAAAAAAACAGTAAGGCCTAGAAAACGATCACAAACGTCGGCTAAGGGCAAGCTGCTGTTCTTAATCCCGTCGGACAAAGGATTCTGATGTAATTTACAGTACTTGCTAAATTAATGCCATCCGCCACAGTCGAGCTCAGAAGCTTCGGTGTGGAAACTTGAGCGATGATTCAAAGAAAAAAAAAAAGGAACACACAAACATTTACAAGGCACCCGGACCAGATTTTTAATTTAAAAAATAACCAGTACCATCAGATTACCGCACAGCAACCTCCACACATTTTTCAAAGGTGTATCAAATGGTGCAAAAACCGAACCGGTGATCTTGACTGTAGCTGTTCAGGAGGCACAGGAGGAAACCAGAGGAACTGGAGCCAAGCTACACTAACACCACTAACACTAACAGACCAGAGAGTCTGCACATCCCAGACGCACAAGGCACTGCAGCTCAGAACTACAACTACACAGGACCCGCAGCAGTGCTAACTACCACGGCACAGGCTGCCAGCCACCAAAACGGCAAAATACAAACAGCGGCAGTGAAAACACTGTGGCTCCAATAAGTTCAGTTTGTCACAAAGCATTAAATAAGCCAAATATTCGCACAACCTTCAGAACATTCAAGATGGCTTGACTAATGTGATGAGGAAACTGCTGTCTTATCATTCACTCAGCAGCAGTCATAATAGGAGAGGTGGAAGGAGCTAAATCCCTCTAGTCCGACACAGAAGAGAAAGAGAGGAATTGAGATCCAAGGATTCAAAATCCTGAGGGCGCAGACAGGTTCAACCCAGGGAACTGTTTCACGCTCAGCAGCGAATCAAGGACACAGAGCCATGGTTGGAAAATTAAGGGAGAATTAATTTAGGAAAGAGAATAGGAAACATTTTTTACACAGAGTACTGAGTGTTTGGAACAGGCTTCCCGGTCAGGCTGTTCAAACCAAAACTTTGGACACCTTTAAGAAACAAATGATTCACTTAGGATTCACTTAGCTACTGAACTGCCCACCTGGACGCTGGGCCAAATGGAAGCATTTGTTATTCGGTGGATTAAGAACAGTTACGCAGATTTGATTCCAATAGATTAACACCAAAAAAATTAAAAATAGGTTACAAAGGTTTCATTCCTGAAGAAGAAATTTAAGACCAATTTAAAAACACCTAATCCACAAACTACTTCCACTCAAATGCCTAAAGCCCTGAAATTCTGGAAAACGAAAGTGATCCAAGGGTCAACAGATCTATTCAATTCTGCTTAGCTTTTCAGATGGAAGGTGGGGAGACTGCAGGCGTGTGGCGTTTTCCAAATGCTTCACTTACCTTTACAAAAGCAACGCGCTTCAGTGAAACCCACAAAAGCAAGAAATGCCAGCAAGCCTTTTTAAGGAGTTACTTAAGCAGGGACTCGGTAGGAAGGCGATCGCTCCGCTTTCTTTATAAATGTTTTAAGTGTTTAGAAAGCTCTGCTGCCTGCCACTTGGTCTTAAGCGAAACTGACAAGGCAAGCCAAGGCTACAAGTCTCAAGCAATACTCAATCTATTCCATCTACCCAGAGACTGACAATATGAAGAATCACTGCGGGCGCAACCTGCTCGCCTTATCTTCCCAAATGTTCCCAGGCTTGTCAGTGTGCATTATGTCTTCTGAGCACCTTTATGAATAATGGGTGTGTTATTCAACTTTGGAGAGTCAATTACGATAACACTGATGAGAGACCTCAGTCACACCAACATAGCATCCAGAAGCCACAGCTGCCTGGCCAGTATAAAACTAGAAGAATTTCCACATACTTCTTTTAGGTTTTCACAGACAAGTGTTTCCAAAGAAGGCAATGACATTAACTGTTAGTCTACAGTCTATATATATATATTACCTACTACAGTGTATTCCATATAATAGACTTCTGTATGTTTGACTGGCACAAGTTTAGTGGCTGTTCGATTGAAAAGAAATAATGAAAATGTCAGTGTTCTTTACCCATGAAAAAGTAATGTAAGTGTAACAAGTAATGTAAGTTTAAAATATTCATGAGAGTGAAGCACCAACACTGGAAACTACAAGCCCTTCCCTTCTGTTTTTAAAAACTACTAATACCTAGGTCTAGGTCTAAAACCTCAAGTTCTAAGCCAGACCTAGTGAAGCATCAAGAAGAAATGCTATCAGCACAAAGTCCCGAGCATCTATTTTGAGCCCTGGCAATGCAGAAAATTCAATCAAGCAATCAATATGGCTGAACGCTTTACATTATGCAGGGAAGAGCCCTCAATACTCTTTCAGGAAGCATTAGTCCAAAGAAGTGCATTTAAATACACTTCTGGGCTGAGAGAAATATCCTACACTCACAGGCTAAAAGAAACTTCAAAGGCACAGACAAAGTCAAGCCACTGGACTTCTGCTGAATCAATAGTGAAACACAAACCAGGGAGCAAGCAGAAACTACAAGAAAATGTATTTGCACCTAAGAACAAGAGGCACATTTTGTACACAAAAGTGTAATGGGAGTATGGAACTCTACCCAGCCATGCTAGACACTAAATGTTCCAGACGGGCCTCCTTTTACCTGTAACCTTTTCTTAAGTTTACTCAGACCTCCAAAGATCAAGTCTTAAAAACACTTAGAAGGCAAAAGCCATCACAATGCAAAGAGATGCACTGCTCACACTGGAAGGGAAACAGAGGGCTTGAGCAACGTTACAGGACCTGAGCCTGGAAAAGGGCTTAAAGTAACTGCTAAAGTTATCCATCTTCCCCTTCTTCTGCCCCACTGTTATTATTGCCAGATTTCACCTTTACAAAGTTTACGTCATGAAGAGGGATCACACGAAGATGACACACACAAATCGCAATGTTACATGTCAGGTGAGAGCAAATTATTTTTCTGATAAGGATCTCATTTTCAACTGAACATTCAGGACAGTCGCCGACGGCAAACATACCGGTGCGTTATAGTACTGTTCCAGCATGACCAGAAGAATGACATTCTATCAGTGAGTTTCATCATAAGAAAGTAATTCGTGCTGAAGACATAACAAAAAAACACTTTCTGAAGGAAAGAAACCATTAATCTCCCCCTTAGACTTGCAGAAAGTGAACTTGTCTGCACTGACTACATGGAGCTGTGTTCCCCTGCAACATGTTCAAAAGACGCAGTCCAAAGGAGCATGACCATCTGTTCTGCCACAAACAACAGCGCTTATTATAGACCAAAATTATTGTTCAGGTTCATCCCCAGGGCTGGAAGACTTGTTTTTCTTCTGGAAGTGGGCAATTAACATAAGTTATACCTGCAGCTACAATTCTGTCACCCAGAGCTCCGCTAAGTCTAATCGATGCCTACTGAAATCTGTCCCCATGCGCCTTTCGTAACAAAGCTACTGAGCCGCTAAAAGACACAGGAGACAGGCTGATCTGTAATAGGGAAACTGTCTAAGCTAAGGTCTATGCCTCTTGTGACACCCAGAGTTCATTTCAAGCTCCGGAGCTTCATTAAACTTCCAAGTAATTTTATTTAAAGGAAATAAAAACCCTGAATACTTGATCAGAAACAGCTTTAAATTCTCAAATACCTGCAGAGGGCTGGGTAGGCCAGCGGTTAGGGAAACCAGAAGTTTGCAGTTCAAGCCTTGCTTTTCGCACAGACTTCCTCAGCAGACATCAAGTCCTGATCCCAAGTTGCTTTGAATAAGTGCGCCCAATAAAGAACTAATCAGAGTTATTTACACAGCAAATACTACACCTGCAGCAGTTACCAGATTTGTATTGAAGAGGAAAGATTATTTCAACAGCATGGCCACATGCACCTTTCTGCCACACTAACTTCTGCTGTAACCGAACGCCACATCAGGCAATCAGGAGGATATTATTAGAAAGTTACACAGCGGAGAAGTCCTTAGGGTGTAAATCCATTAAGAGATGGGAGAGGAGGGTTATCTTACCGAAGGCCGACAAAGACACTGCATTCATCCGACCTCTCATTAATCTCCACTACTTTAAAGTGGGCTGCTGGCTTTAGCTAAGGAGGGCTTGTTGTAACAAAAACAACCCAAAGCTGTATGATGACTCAGCGAATTTACAGGATTAACAGTAGGCTGCAGAAATGAATTAGCACTCTTCGTTGCCAGTGACTTGAATTTCTTTCCCCACAACTGTGGTGCTTACATTAGAATCACAACACTTCAGAAAGAGCCAGTCAATTCACTGGGCCATTGTGGAGCCTTTCTATAAATACACCCTGTGATGTAATATTTGTTTTTTTATTGGCAAAAGCACACAGGCTTGCAGGGTGACTGGCACTCCTCCTTAGGTGTTTATGGAAGCTTTGACTTCAATATCAGTGCGATCGGTAAGGTTACCTCCATATGGGGACTGCAGGAATTAACAAATTTTCAGAATTGTTAAGTAAACCACAGCGGCCTTCACTTTAATGCTGACAATCTACCGCAGACAGTGGGCAGCAAAGTGGATTCTAGCTCTAGTGTGATCAGATATAAAATCAGTTGTATTAGCAAAATTGCAAACCCTTTGCGATGATAGAATAAACAAACTCGGAGTATCCAAGAATTTGCGCTTGTGTTCAACATTACGTGCTACACCTGTGCTGCCCAAACTTATGCCTAACGTAACTTCCTTTAGGTGCTGTTAAATGATTTAAATATTTACATATACAAGTAGGATAAGAGTTCTCTACCTAAGGAAACGCTCCTTGTAGCTGATGCGCTTCCAGCTGTTTCAGAAGCTCCAGTTTCCTTTCAGATATTACAGTCCTGCTTTGTCACTGGGAGGGCTCCTTAGCCACTCATCCTACGACACACAAGAGAATGGAGATGTTGCCCAAATCCAAGCACTGCTCTCCTCTAGCAGAATTAAACACAGGACCCTCTGCTTACTGCTGTGCTGCAAGACCAAACATAACCGGCTTTATAGAGCTGTGCCCCCCACCCCCATGCAGAACACCTGACTCTGAAACACACTATAACC